AATTACGGTGTGTACATTCTTTAAGACATAATGCTATTATGCACTTAACAGACTACAGTCTAGTGTAAACATAACTTTGCATGCCCGGGGAAACCAAACAAGTCAGGGGGCTCACTTCTTTGCGGTGGTCTGGAGCCAAACCTGCCATGTCTCCCAGGTTTGCCTGCATCTTCCGAGGAGGCATCATGGCCAGCAGAGGTAGGAAAGGTAATTGATAAAACTCACTTCACAGGCACAGAGGGGAACGCACTTAATCCGATAAAGGACTAAACCAAAGCCCTGCAGCTCAACTCCTACTGGGCGGTGACACCCGCATAGCTTCCCGCAGGGCTGCTGCGCAAGACCGCGCGTCTCCACTGCTGTCCTGGAGGCCCTGGACGTTGTGATGTGGCAGGAAAAGACACAAGGCATGAAGCCTGGACAGAAAGCCAATGTCCCCTGACTCAGTCCTACAGTCAGTCAGTGCTGACCCAGTCAGACTCCCCAAGCTGACTCCAGAATGGGTAGTCACACAGAAGACGTGGAAAAGCCAAAACAACCCCGAGAGGGACAAAGTCAGAGACTTAAGAGGTTTCAAACCCCTCATCCCAACAGGTCGGCCCTGAATGCTGACCCACAAGGACCCATGGCCCTGCCCGCCCAAGAGGCCATCACTTCCTCTCGTGGTCCACCGCCCACCTCATCCACCCCCCAGGCCTCAGTATCACCCTGCGTGAGCTCAGACCCTGTCGGGGGGTGGGGTGTTCCTCCACACGTGTAGCCTCCCAACAGGCACTAAAGAGCAGGGTGCCCCAGCAGCACAGTGTCATCTACACAAGGTGCCATGGGCCTGGCCACACAGTGGGGTGAGGACATGTAGGGAGCGGCCCTGAAGTCCACAGCTCTGCCCCAGACCAGCTCTGGATTTGACCTAAATGGCTTCATCTCCGACATTAAAAATGCTCCCCTCTGGCCAGGATCTGAGCCCCAGTTTTATGACCCCAGTGTTACCATCTGTTTCTGACAATGGACTCAGGCTCCTGAGCCAGGCTCACTGACAGCCCTTTCCCTCCCCAGTGGCCGAATGGGTCACCTCGCCATCTCCCGAGACACCAGCAACAGCCCTGGGGGCTCAGCCTCACCAGCTGACTCCCCATCAGAGCAGTCTCCCATGGGTGGTCTACATGTGGGCCCAAGTCACTTAGCAAGGCAGTCGTCCAGCTCTCAGGGAAGTATTAATGGATACAAGACAAAAGGCAGTTTTGTTTGAGACAAGGGTTCCTGCAGTCCCGTTTTATCAAGGACGATGCTTTCTGAGATCACGAAGGCTGTTTGTGTGGGGATCCCCAAACCAGTGCTG